GTGGGATTATTGATCGCTCATGTTTAGGTATTTTGTCGTGTGGTTAGCGCCTTCATTTCCAATAAAAGACAACATTATTAAAGTGGTCGTATTCATAAACTGCACACCTGTCAGTCAAGCGTGGGAGGCTTTACTGTAACGCCGTCTTCCTCGGGTTTCCTTGATGTGTGTTTAGCCTTGGTGGAGATCAATGCTGAGCTCTCCTTGTATTTATTACAAACAAAGCGCTGCTGGTGTTTCTGCAGACACAAAAGCCTTCCTGCGTCCCAGAAGACTTTTCCAGGGAAAGACGTGTCCGCTCTGCACCCGTGAAGGCAGCATATGTAGAAAATGTTAAAGCTTTCTTTAACTAATTATAGGTTGGGGCAACATTTGCATAGGCATTGGAGAAGCAAAAACACATGAGGAACGTTTTGCGAGTTTGTCTCTTATCATTACTCCTCCTTAGTCGTCCTCCTTCATGTATGCTCTAGGCTACTCAAACTGCAGCTCATGCATTCTCAATGTGAGAAACCCAAGTGTGAATTAAACTTCTTACCATGGCAGTATTTGTATCACTGTGTAAACACAGAGGGACACTCAAACCAAACTAGTTGAACGCTTTCTCTCAGTCGGTGTCCTTGACGGTCAAAATCGGTGTGAGCACTCGACCCAGATTCTATCATATTTTCCCCCACAGACTTAAAGTGGCTATTGTTTTCCCCGTCGCTCAACATGGTTCCTTGCCGGAAGCTGGTGGTGGTGATTGTCGGTCAACAAGAGCTTCGGCCTACGTCTTCAGGGCGGATTGGAGGCTAAAGTGAGTCGCTATCGGAAAGTGACCAGACGTGATCACACGTGATTCTCTTAATGGGTCGGTATGCCTTTAACCAAAGTGCTTGTTGAATGGTTGAACCGTGTATGAAACTCTCCTCTTGGAAGAGTTGGAAGGTCTATCCCACAATTTGCATAACTTTCCGAAGCCGACAATCCAGCAATTATGTCCATTTTACTCATCGGTTGGCACGGTATACAAAGGCGACAAAGTAAGAGTGGCTTAAACATCTTACTTGGGCTCTCATATTCATTTTTAATTCAATTACTTATTTCATTTTTGTGCGTATAACTCAGTGAAACACCATGAAAGCATTTGAGGAAAGACTCTGTGCCGCATTATCCCCATTTGAACGATTGTCATGTCTTGACCCTTCACGTGTGGCCTGTGAGCTCGGCTTGATACTTCCCACCAGTGGAACAGTCGTTGATTTTTGGGCAAATGAAAGCGCACGCTTGCTCACAAGCGTAAGGATGAATGCCACAGGACTCCCCTGCGTGGACTACAGCTGCAATTTCCACAGTCTTTACAATCACCTTTGAAGCCAACAGGACGAAAGTGTTTAATACTCACAGATAGGTTTTGGGTGGGGTACCACTCCAACCGAATTGTCATCCAAAGATGTGCCAGGTTCGTGACTAACAAATAAGAACTGTGAAATCGGACACAAACTCTGTGGTCAGACTGCGAACATTATATCTTCATAACTGGCAGACTTTCTGGCGTCATTGGAAGAAATTAAATGAGGTGACACAGGAGCTATCCTGCTGCCTCCATCTGCCAGTGTTCATTCCTTGTACTTGCAGCTGTCTTGACGCTGGATCCCGGCTCATGTTGCGCTGTTCTACCTCTTACCCACTTGCCCACTCGCAGGAAAGATGATTTAATGGAAGTATAATAACAGTACTGGGGGATTGCAAGAGCTAAGGTCGCTGGCACCAGAAATTGCTGCCATTGTGGAAAAACAGTTTGAGTGGGATTGTGGGGATTTTCACATCCTTATATTAATGTAATTCCTTAATGATTTCCAGGAGAAAGTTCTTTGCTTCCCTCAGGGTGTAGGTCAAAGGTCGGGGGTTGGCTACACTGTTGAGTTGGAAGGAATTTGGTATCTTGCACAAAGATATCTCCGCAGGTTGGATGCTTGCTGACATGGCGCTGGAACCTAAGTCCTGCATGTGGAGATAAATCCTGCAAACCACAGGATTTTTTTTATTTATTTATTTATTTTTTTGCCTGAATCCAGAGCACAGATTGACATATCCAAGGAGTCGCCCTGAGGCTTATGAGATGCTTGTAAAAAGATGAGATGCAGTGATAAACCCAATGGGGATTTCCAGTGATTCTCATTCATCTTTTCAAATGTGAAGTTCATAGAACCTACCATAGGCTCATGCTTGTTGCCCTCATGCTGTTTGGCATCCAATAAATCCAACATTGCTGGTGTTTTTCTGCTGTTTTGTACTCTTTTCTTTTCCTTTCTTCAACTTCTGTTTTCATTTATTGTAACCATATGATGGTCTCTAACAGCTCTAATGTAGATCCGAGCACTTTCCTTATATATAAAACGTGATTTAACCCAAACCGACTGAGTGACCAGTGAACTCAGTGACTCACATCACGTTGCATAGACCGGCTCCGTGTCTTGTGGGAGCTGGGGCAGCATGAAAATGACAGACTGACACACTCGATTTACGACCAGAGAACAGGGTGTCTTTCAATTTTAGGCAGCCCTCGATTGAGACATCACATAGACCCAGACTCTCCTAATTACACACACACACACACATGCACACACACATGCACACACACACACACACACACACACGCACACACGCACACACACACACAGGCGGCTAGAGAACAGTTATTGGCTAGACACGGACTGCGGAGGCAGATAGCCTTGTCTAACCTCTTGATTTAAACAGTCTGGGAGAGGAAGGGGAAGAGAAACACACATACACTCACACATTCGCTACCACAGTCATTATTAGATCGATTTTCCCACAGATGGAGAAACGATGCAGGGAAATGAATGAGATCAATAGACAAACCGCCAAGGGAGAGTCAAACCAATGGATGGGGAAGCTCAGGGAAAATAAGAAGGGGCAATATTTGATTTGTGTGACCAGAAGAGGAAACGTTTCCTGTGTAGCTGCATATAAGCGTGTGCATGTGAGTCTGTGTTTCAGGATGAGGCAGTGTACAGTTGTTAGGCATGTTTCTGTGTATAATTTTCCATGTCTGTGTTTGGAGAAAGGTCATCATTAAGTGAATGTCATCCACATTATTATGGTACCTTCCTCTGAATTGCTTCGTGCGCCCGGTTTCATGAGAGTTTGCATGTGTGTGTTCATGGCAGTGCACCAGTGCGTGTCCAGCCTGTCTCCTCCGGTCCCTTTGGTTGGCTGGTTTGATTGTTTGTGTTGCTGTTTTCGAGCTGGATGCCTGAATGAGGGGAGCTGCTCCTCTCCGCTCTTCTCCGCTCTGCTCTGCTTTAGGCCGCCATGGCTTGGCTGGCTGGCGGGCACCGTCTGTGCTGAGGGGGACTAAATATAGCTCACTGCACCAGGAAGAAGACAAACTAGAGAGAGAGGGAGGGGCGTAAATGTAGAGTACCCTCGTGCAATTAGAGAGTCAAGCACTGCTGGGAAATTTTAGGGAAAGAGACAGAGGGAACTCTCTCTGAGGCTGTTCTCTTTACGAGCTTTGTGGATTTGTTATTTTGGCTGACGGCTGCTTGAGTGCCTTTGTTGTGAGTCATCACATTTGACAGAAAGTAACCCAGTTTAAAGGGCACTGACTAATCTTTATAGTAGTTATGAGCCTGCTTTCATTGCGAACTCAACCACCCACTATTAAGCATTTTCCATTCACTCTTTAGTTAGAACATTGTTACATACGTGACCTCCACATGTGTGACAAAGCAATTATGCTGCACGCATTCAACAATACTCATTCAACAATACCTCAATCTGAACAGCAGCATAAGATCGTCATTGGTTTAACACACTATGTGATGACTGCAGTCTTGTAGGTTAATTGCATGCCACACTGGTTTAGACTGGTCTAATAAAATCTGTGTCAGACTGTAGGACAGCACTTTGAGGCATGTCAGATTTGCACAGTGTCAGATCAGCCCATGTTTTTATGCATCATTTCATTTCATATTCTGATGAGAATTTGTCCCGGATCAGATTAACTGATCATAGAGAACAAATTCTTGATTTTGACGAGAGACATGTCACACTACAGACAAAATTGTCCCTCCTTCTTCATTCATCTTATGTTTACTGTTGTGTGCAGGTAGATGGGCCTCATGGAGCACGTCATAGATGTTGTTAAACTATGTGAGAGAAGGAAAATAAAATGGTACACACTAGACATTTTGTTGAGACATTGTGTAGCTGCTGATATTAGCTTATGGCAGATATATCATTCATTACCAAAGAGCACTGCCATGTTTATTTTTCAACTGCAAAATATCCTGTTCAGGCACCAACATATAGGGGCCTTAAAACAAACAGATGGCTGCACGGCCGCCATGTGATTCCTCTCTACTCTGGAGCAGAGTTATCATCAAGTCTGCATTCCTGCTAATCCTTTCAACTGTGCAAACAAGGCCGGGACAGAGTCATATGTGTTGGTCAGATGTGACATTTTGAAGCATTACGGTAGTGACATTTTCCTGACGATGCGTACCTGTGTGCTCACGTGTCCAGTGTGATGCGAAGGGCTGAAATTGCCAGAAAAACCTGACATGTTTTCTGGATCTCTGGTTTTCCATCACGCTGGCGCACGCACACTCACACACGCGCACGCACACACACACACACACACACACACACACACACACACACACACATGATTCTGTGCCTGCAGCAATAGGTGTCCTCGCTTTCTCTTTCCCCACTGTTCTTTTCATCACTTTCATCCTGAAAGTCTTTCAGGCATGTTTGACTGTATTGTATATTCCTTTTGTTCGCTGTAGGGTCACTGTGTTCCAGGGCTGATAAGCAGACACTGATATCTTACATTAGATATTATAATTAACCTGATAAGCAACAGACACTGTACATACATGTCATAATATTTATTTCTTCTTCATATCTGAGTTATCATTTACTCTGTATCTAACCAAACCATTTCCCCTTTCTTTGTGTGTGTGTCTCTTTTTTTCTTCCAGAGTGCTGATGTCAGTGCGTCGTCCTTTGGGAAACTGAATCTGAATCTGGTACCGCTCAGAGCGCTTCAAAGCCCCGCCTGTTCCTTTTGTGACAACCAATCACATCAAGAGAGCAGCTGCATCGGACACGCCCCTGAAGCACTTTCACAGAGACTGATGGAAAATGGTTCTTTCCTTTTTTTTTTTTCTTTTTCTTTTTTTTTCTTCCACTTTCATCTTGTTGGTTGTGGAAACCAACGGGGATGTGTGCCAAATGACATTCTTGAAAAGATATTTGCTGCTCTCATTCCTTGAGTGAAAGCCAATCAGAGAAGGGTACAAAAAATGGAGAATGGTGTTTCTTTTTTGTTTTCTTCCAAGTGAAAAACTCTAATCATAAAGAGTACAATGGTGGCTGACTTTTAAGTGTATGAAAAAGAAAATATATAGAACTATATATCTGCTCAAAAAGTGCCTCATTTTCAGACTGTAGCTGTTTTACAAAGAACTTCAACTTAGCCTCGACTAACTGAAGCTTTGGGTTCTTTTTTTTCGTGCTTAATTTGATGTAGTTACAAAAAAAATGCAGCAGAGGATATTGATAAATGTGGGTAGCACTGGTGTGAGCTTTTGCCGCGTTCAGGTCATATCAGATGGACGGCAGAGATTGGACAGAGTGCTGTGCTAACGACTTGCAAGCGACGAGTTGGTCGTGCGAGGGTTATGCATGGTCAGTATAACACTAGCCATTAAATTTGGGTTTATTTAACTTGAATGAAGGACTTTGGCTGATGTGAGGTATCTCTTTTCTAGATTATAGGTACTTCTAAGTGCCTGTAAAATCTTAAATTTCCCCATTAACAATTGAAACTTACAAGTTGATGCAAATGATATCATGATAAACGATAAATCTGTTATGACATGAACGCGGCATTTTTGCTAACTTAAATGATGATAATGGTACTAGCAATCTGCTGGCCTTCTTGTCTACTGTGAGAAATATTAGCATAGCTGCTGTTGACTTACTGCTCGTTATAACTTGCGGATGTCGCTTTTATTCTGTCAATTTCCCTTTTCTTTCCCTCCTAACTTTTAAACAGAGCCATACACCGAAAGTATTAAACACACAAGCCTGAAACAAAAGGCACTTACAGCAGGGGATACAGTAGCTTGCTAGCTAGCTAAAGCCGGCTAGGTCAGATTAACATATTAGCATTATGCCAGGACGTAAATTCACTGTCCTGCTGACCACAGCTCAGGATGAGACCCCTGATATAGAGCCAAGCAATCCCATTAGTGCTATTAGCTCCAGACACTCACTTAATCCCCTTCATCTCAGGATGCTAAATAACATATGGTACATACAGCTAAGGATAGAGACCCTATCAATAGCCATGCTAATGCTAGCTTTGTAGCGGTCAGCACACTGCTTCTAGCGCTGGAAAGGGGGTCAGTTGTTATTTCAATTCTGTCAGTATGAAAACTGCTAATTTGTCCTCACTTATTTTATACATTAAGGTACCGAACATTTTAAGAGGAAAGTTTTTACACTTTTTGATTTTTAAACTGGTTGAATTGAAAGTGCTTTGACCCTAAATCCTTATTTAAGACTCTCTGTTTCTATCTCCTTCCCTCCCTCCTCTATCTCTTTTGCTTAGCTCTTACTTTAATCTCCGCTATGCATCAGCACTTAAGTGCCTGTCTGTCCTATTTGCCTGTCTGTCTCTCTGCCCCGTCTTAGCAGCTAGCACTAATAGGGCTGTCCTAGCAGAATATATCAAGTCTATTTTTGTCTCTATTTTTGTCTCTATTTTTGTCTCTTTTGGCTGTACAGTGAAATTACTTGTTCCTGTTTGTTCGGTGTGACAATGATCTATCAGATGACTTGACTGACAGCCATGGCCCTAATCGGAGGAGTTTTGGACTGTTTCACTTTGTCGGTAACAGAGGACTTTATCATTGCAGGGCCTTCAGTGCCAAATCACAACAACAAGAAAAAAAAAAAAAGGACTAAGCTGTTGTCCTCTCCGACAGCACCTCAAGAAGCAACCTTTTAGCTCTCAAGTCCGGACGTATTGCTTTGTTTTGTTTTAATTATGTAACCTTTTGTGTTCCGCCGTTGTTTTCTTTTGCAGCGGGGGGAGGAACTGTGACATATCTCGCCTCGCAGTCTGCTGATGTGACTCTTGGAGATAAAGGTCATTGTGAAGACTTGCGTATGCTTTAACCTTGAATTTTCCTCTGACTTTGATCCGAGCATTATGAAGAAATGCATGAAGAGAAAGAAAAGGCCACCATGAAAAACAGCAACAACAAAATGTCTAAATGTCTGAATACATGTGCATCTACGTAGCTCCAGATTGTACTCATGTGTTTGCCTGCCTGCCGGCCTGCTTTGGGAAGTTCATGAACTTTCTCACTCTGGTCACATGACTGTCGGGGGGCCTAGAGCATAACAATGCAGCTTTATTACGAGCAGATTGGGATCTGTGGTTGGAATTGCCCCTAATAGCAGTTAGAAATGCAGAAGTGGAAAAAAAACAACAATTGGACTTCAAACCATGTTCACCACATAAAGCCAAAACGTTTGCTTTCAAGCAGGCAAACACATGATGACGAGTTGAAATGTTTCTAATGTATTTTGGAGATGTTCTTGTATTGAGACTGAGCAGTTTTCCGCCAAAGCAGATATGCTTGAAGGTACTTGTAGTTTAGAAAGAAAGCGCACAGACTTGCTTTCAGTCCTGACTAGCAGACATTATTATCCTGCCATTTAGAGCTCCCTTCCAGCCCTGAGCGTCTCATGAACTTTTCAGTGAACCACGTTTTTACTGTCAAACTGCCTACAGTCTGGAAATTTTCTTTTTTGCATTGACTGCCCGTAGCGAGGTTCTCGATAGTCACAGCCACATATCGTGAATAAAGTTCCTTCGGGAGAGCTCAGACGAATGGGGGTTCAACAGTTTAAGTGGCTGCATGATTTCATTCATTGCGTTGTTGAGTGTAGAGATATTCATAAAATGTGCAGGAAAAGTGCTGCTGCTGATCTAAATTGTTTTATCCCTTCCTCCTGTTCCCCTGAGGGATGGTACTGAATGGGAATATTGTGAGATTTGCCATTGATGTAGGCAGTTTTACTTCTGTTGCTTGAGAAAAAAAAAAATCTGACTAAAAGGAAAAAAGTCAAACAACAAAAGGACTTGTGGTTTCTTTTGTTTCTGTGACCGGCTGCTAAGTTTCCTTTTGAGTGATGTAATAGGGACAATTGTTCAAAAGTGACAGGCCTAAGACACAAAAACAACAGTGCTACTGATCTACGGGGGGGAGAAGAAGAGTGGAAGACGCTACAATTTACTGGCTGAGGCAAGTGTGAACATCTGCATGAAATGCCACAGACACAGGCCGGCTCATGCCCCTCACACACTCCCCGCCTTTGACTCACACACAGTCGCTCGTAGAGGCTGCGACCACAGCGCAGATGTCACACTTTATTGTGGAAAAAAAACCAGCCTGATTGTTAATCCACAAAGCCTTTTTAGCCGTGTTAGTCACATTCACCATTCCCATTGATAAGATCATTTGCACTCAAGGTTGGCGGGTTGCCAGTGGACTTAATCACTCGTCTTACCGGTAATTTGACCAACATGGTGTTTAGTGGGTGAGCTCTCAGACCTCCTTCTCTCTCTTATTTGATACTGCCATCTCACTCAACACTCAGTTTAATTAAATAAGCTTTTTTTAGGCATGATAAATCTGTGCCTCTTTCTCTTGTTATTGTTAACATGCATGGGATCTCGTATCGTCCTTGTCCACAGATGGCCAAGTAATTCAACCCCAGCTGGGTGTAATTGTGCTCTGACTGAGGCTCTGCAGGAATTAATAGAAATGAGAACACACACACACACACACACACACACACACACACACAGATCAGGCTCGCACCTGCAAAATCTCTCACTTTCCTTACTGAGTAAAAATAAGGTTAGACAATAAGAAGCCAGGCAGCACCTTTTATGAGAGAAGAAGAAGCAGAAGCCCCTCGCACCCACGTCTAAAATATTCCTGACACTGACACTGTAGTCTGTCTGTCCCATTAGTTCTCTTTACAGCTCGTGTTCCCTCTTGTTCACTTATATCTTAAACAGTAAGTCCCAAAGTGGATGTCATCCCTACCTCAGATTTGTTAGTCTCAGCAGAGACATCTCCCTTTTCTCATGATATACTTGCACAAGCATTGCCTCTATATTCAGTATTCAGTTTTTACCATTAGCAAGAATGTTCCTCGTGATATTTTTTCTCAAGAAAAAGTCAAGGTTTTATGAATGAATGAACACTTTTCCTTGTGATGCGCCCTCAGGCAGTGGAAAGCCTAAGGGTGCATCAGTCTGAGAAAGCTTGCTCTCTCCCTTGGTTAACACTAAACTTTAATTCTCGGGTTGATAAGAGAAATCAGATAAGCTCAGATCTGACCCACATTCTTACTGGCAGTGACTGACAAACGGAGCAATACGGAAATGTAGAGCACTATCAGCACTGCTCTCAGATAAGAAGAGAATGGAGGAGCAGAGGCGGACAAATGGGCACAGCTGCCATCTGGTTGTCGTGGCGACAGCCAGTGTCAATGCCTCCCTCCACTATGGTGGCAACATCTCTGGTCAAGACAAGAGAGGAGGAGGAGGTGGAGGGATACTGGATGGGAGCCAAGTGAAGAGGACACCGAGTTCAATCACAGAGAGGTGCTCTGGCCAGAGGCCAGCAGGTAGACCTGTTGAGTCTGAGTGGGCGGTGTATCATCTCCTCATTGTGTGGGTGTGTGTGTGTGTGTGATGTTTGCGATAGTGTATCCTTGTGTTCCAGCTCAGCTTACAGTTACATTAGATGTACCTATGGGCACACAGCAGCAGAAATAGACTCAATAACCGCACTTGTTTACGCACTGCACGGTGGACAGAGGAATATTTGTACAGCGTCATGTGAACTCATCTCATACAAAAACCACAAGATCTGTTTAGTCGATGTTCTGGAGCTTTCAATCGTATCACATGGAAGAGGGCAAGCTATCTGTTGATGAAGGTTGTTTGATATGACTGAAAGCTCCAGGACGGCTGCTAAATGGATAAACTCATTTTTAAGACCCTCTCATTCAACTCAGTGAAAATGTTTGAAGCAATAATTAGCTGTGAAGTGGAGATGTAGTTAAGAAAGAAAATATATTTCTGTTATACATAATTATGTTTATGTTAACATCCATTTCTCAAATCTTTGCTTCTGTTCTTGTGAAATAGTCGACACTGATCCCTGCTGGCCTCTTAACACCCGTCAAACTACACAATCTGAGAAGTAACCTCAATAGTTGAACTGCTCAAAACTCATGTCCAGTCCATCCAGACTCAGGACATCCTACACGGTTCTCCTGAGGCTGTTTTAGCATAAGTGGCCCGCCGCCCCGATCCTGAGCAATAGTCACACTCATTAAAAATGTCCCAATTTCTATGTGAAGTAGGTCTTTGTGCTTTTTCTCAGACAGTGTTACATTTTATTTCAAGTGTATTAATTTTTAAAGACCGTACAGAAATGTAGTAGTAGTGTAGTGAGGGAGGGCTGGACGATTTGTTGTTATTGTCTTTTTGATGTAACCACATATGTAGCGATGAGCTACAGTATATTGCGAGAGCAGGCTGAAATATAAATTTAGGATGAGAAATTAAATAAGAAACCCTCCTTCCTCTTCTCTACAAAAAAGTCTGACCTCCTCTCCCCCTTAATGATTTTCCTGCAGTCCCTAAGTGGAGGTGGTCTGCTTCTGCTAAAAGTCACTCTGAGGAAACCCTGGCATAACCTGTGAAGACGAGGGGTCTCAAGTCATGATTGCTTCATTAAAAGGAGTCAGAAGCCAAAAAGTTTAGGACCAGCTGTCCTTCAATATTATACAACAGCTCCAACAACTTTTGCCCTCAAAACTGATAAAAATTGAGCAATAAAGAGGTGACGGGAGACACTGATCGGGATTGAAAATGTGTTTCTGTTTAGCCATTGTGTGTTTATTTAGTATTACAATACATGAGACAAAGCTGCATGAGGTTGCAGCATTCAAATTTGTGATTTCATAAAAACACCTCAGCTTCAGATCCACTTTAGAGCCTTTATACTTCTGCTCAGCCCGGTCTCAAAGCTGTGAAGAGCTCTGCTATAGAGGAGGGGTATAAATCTCCAGTCAGATGTATGTCTTGGCCTCTTTAATGGGGCTGAGATTGATATTTTTATGGTGTTTACATCATGGGTCCCTGGCCTCGCGGATCATGTACAGTCCATACTGCTGCAAGTTGGCAACAATACAGGAAGTCTTCCTGTCTTTATGACTTCCTCCACAGCGCAGTGCCACAGGAAGCTCGCTGGATGCAGGACACGGAAATAGCTTTTGCTCCCAAATGTGGGAATGTTCATGTCAGCGCTGCTCCATGCTCCCAAAGTGCTTCCTCCTTCCCATCATTCACACGAATTCAAAAATAAAGTAGAGGTGTTTCTGCAGATGTATGTAGTGCCAAATTATGCATTTTTGAAAACCATTTCCCTCATGCAAGTAGCCAAAATAAACCACATACAGTATGTAATGCTGCAGGTGTTTTATCTTAGGTAAACCTACTGTATATATGTTGACCCAGCCAATAAAGCCCTGGATTAGAGTCAGTATACTGCAAGCTGCTTCTGCTAATCCCCCCCGCCCCCCCTCCCCAACTTTCCTCTCCCCTCTTTCCTACATATAGTTTTCAGGGCAAAGTTAATCACTGTAGACTCAATAAAATTAGTTTACACACACAGCCATGGTCAAACTAAGTGGCTCCGACGGCCGGGTCCATCCGCTGCATGGCATGTGAGGTAATGTGATCCACAAATGCCACAGCCGACGCAACCATTTTCTAATGTATTTCCAGCTCTCTTTTCCTCACCGCCCCCTCTTTCACATAGTGTACTTAGCCAAACAAAAAGCCTTTCTCTGTCTTTCTCTCCCTCCCCTTCCCCTTCCTCCTCCCCACCACCAACTACCGCTCACCCTCACCCTCTCTCTCTCTCTCTCTCGCCTCATGAGAGAATGTTTGCCATGATTATGGATTTGTCTTTATTACAGGCTGCATAAGAAATTAGCTCTGTCACCCTGTCGCTGCTGGCTGGTCTGAGAAAAAGGGAGGTTGAATCTTTTAAAAAAAAAAAAAAAGAAAAGTGCACATGGAGCGAGAGGTGAGTGAGGGAAAACGGAAGGGGAAGAAAGAGGAGGCGTTTTGGGGGGGGGTGCTGCTGGTGGTAGGTGGTGGGGGGTGACTGTGAGGCTCTGTGCTATATTTTCCTTGAAAGCTCCTGAAAACACAAAGACACATGGTACAGAATTCCCCTCACAGTAGGAGGGGGGAGGAGGGGAGGGGGGGGAAGGAAGGGGAGGGGACGGGGGCAGCTTTTGCAAGAGAACACCACACTGTCTGTGATATCAACGCACACACACACACACACACACACACACACACACACACACACACACACACAGGGACTTTTATACGTGAGTACACACACTAGGAAGAGAAGGGAGTGTGTGAACCAGATCCACAAACACTCGGCTGCAACAAAAGGCAGCACAGAAAGAGGGGCGGACTTTGAAGATGCCGGCAGGCCAACGCCTTGACATGCCAGCACACGGAAACCTCCAAACATCATATCACCTTAATACCTCTCAGTGCTGTGGGAAAGTGGAAGGCCCCACTTTCCACGGGTATTGGTAGGGTGGTGGTGGTGGGTAGTGGGTGGTGAGTTGGAGGGGGGGGTGGGTGGTGGGGGATGGCGCGTTAATCCAATGTACAATGTGTTTAACTTTGACTGGCAGATCCCACCGGCCCCTCCACCCTCTCCTCACTGTGGGGCCCCCTCCTAGCTGCAGATTGAGGACAAGTGTAGAGCTGGTATTTAGGTGGAGCTGGCTGACTGGAAAAAGGTGAAGGGTCAGGTTGGTGTGAATGGACCTGTTAGGAGCTGTGATCTTGGCTTAGCGCGGACCCAGTGCCCTTGAAAACTGAACACCCGGTTGGTTGATTGATAAAGATGAAAGCAAAAACATCGATTTTGCTCTTAACTGTAAGTTTTTTTATTTTAAGCTTAGAAAAACCAGAATCCATAACAATAATTGTGCGATTTATCTCGTCCTCTGGAGCTTGTTTTGTAAATTCCTCTTGATTTAAAGTTGTGTTGGATCCCAACAGGGCACCACAGCATGAGGACTGCAACATCCTATACTTTAGGTCACAAGTGGGATGATAAAATGAGTGAGCGTCGCCATCTAGTGGAACATCTGAAACCTCCTTTTGCTGTAAAAACACAATCAGGTCACCATGGATGTGCTAATCCATAGCTTCAAGTCAATGCAGTTAGTGTTAACGATATAGATAAGATTACATAAACATGTTCTTGTAATAGCAGCCTAATCTAT